GCCAGCCACATATACCTGAGCTGGTGGGTGTCCAGCCCAGGCCCACCAAACACAATGACAACTATAACCAAAAAATAGCCAGGTGTTGTGGTAGGTGCCTGTAGTCCCAGCTACTTGGGAGAGTGAGGCAAGAGAATTGCTGAAGCCCAAGAGTTTGAGGTTGCTGTGAGCTGTGATTTCATAGCACTCTAGTGAGGGCTACAACTTAAGACTCTGTCTCAAAACAAAAACTAAAACAAACAAATAAAAAACGTTGTCACAATAGCATTCACACCAAGGTTAAACATTCAGGAAAATATATTTGGCATTAGGGTCTGAGGTATGGTTAATTTCATATGTGACATAAGCCACTTCTACTGGAAATATTAGTCTTTACTAACAGTTCTTTGGGAAGGTGGGAGTATATATGTCATTTATTAGCTGGCATTATTGTTTCTGAGTAATTCTTTGTTGTAAGTTTAAAGGAGGAGAGAATTATTTTAACTCTGACTTTTTCCTAGGTAATGACAAAGACTCTCAAAATACTAAACTACTCTATGAAAATCTTTGGAAATTTAATTTTGGCATTTGGATTTTGGATTGATGGCACATGAAGGGCAATTTTTGTTTTTATAACGGAAGATAAAAGTGTGTCCAAACTAGAGTTACCGGAGTTTAACTACAACTAAGATTGAAATTGATGTTCATTTTTGCACATAAGAAAATGAATTTTAGCAGACTGACTAACCAAAACATACCTGTAGTTTGAAACTGAATAAGAATTTTCTTTCCTTCAATGCTCTGACACTGTTTCTGTTTTTTTCTTTTTCTTCAATGCTTTGACACTTTTTTTTTCTTTAGGAATTTAACTAAAAGGTGTATTTCCTTTGAAGTCTAAAATAAAAGTGTCCACAAATGTTACAGACAGTAGAGTAGCTGTTAAACTGCTCAAATAGGTCCTGAATTCTTTTTTTTTTTTTTTCTGGAGACAGAGTCTCCCTCAGTCACCCTAGGTAGAGTGCCATGGCATCATCACAGCTCACAGCAACCTCAAATTCCTGCGCTTCAGTGATCCTCTTGCCTCAGCCTCCTGAGTAGCCTCTTGAGCTGGGACTACAGGCACCCACCATGATGCCCAGCTAATTTTTCTATCTTTAATAGAGATGGGGCCTCACTCTTGCTCAGGCTGGTCTCAAACTCCTGAGCTCAGCCAATCTAGCTGTCTCGCCCTTCCAGACTGGTAGGATTATAGGTGTGAGCCACCTCACCTGGCCAGGTCCTGAATTCTTAATCAACTGGCCGGTATGAACATTCAGTCCTCTTGTTCAGGGGGCAGGCTTGCTCACCTGGTTGCAGTACTGGAGTTTCTTCCAAGTTTCACAACATATCCTCCTCCTGAGTAAGTGGCAAACTCCCCTTGGATGGGATAACCACCCAGGGTCTCCTGCTTCTGGTAATGCCAAATGCTATCTGGTTCTGTGACGTTTGCGCTGGGGGGCCCCCAGTTCATCCCATAGTTCTCTGTATCCTCCTGATGTTGGTGAGATGGCCTCACTTGTTCTTGGGGAAATACTCTAGCTGGGAAGAGTGTGGCACTGGGAATGCGAATCTGACGAAGCAGAACATTGCCCAGAAGAAAGGAGTTCCCGTCAGTAATAAATCCTAATGAGAAATAAAAGAAATAATTTTATAAATTGCCTAAGTTAATAACAAGACAAAGATGAACACTTTCACCACTACGTTTGAAAACATTTGTAGAGGTACTGGCTAATGCAATTAGATAAGAAAAGAGGTATAAAATTTAAAAGGGAAGTGAAATTATCACAATTTGTAAATGATAAATTAAGAGAATCAACTGAAAAGCTATTACTGTTGACTCTTGAGCAATACAGGTTAGAAATACCCAGG